CCATCCAGCACTCTGTACTGCCCCCATCCAGGAGGTGGCCTGACCACCCAGCACTCTGTACTGCCCCCATCCAGGAGACAAAGTCTGTTTGCTACTCTGTCACCCACAGGAAAATCAACTGTGTCAAGTGCAATAAGAATCTCCCCTGTCTTCAAATAATAACAGAAAAATTCATGCTCTTTTTTCTTCCCATCTCTGTCCTTTCAAGTTTATCTCTGCATTCTACATTGAGCATTGACTGAAAAATCCCAAGGATGAGAGTTTTCTTTTTCCCTTATTTCTTACAAAGTCCCTGCACTTGTGTATCTATGAGAGCAAGAGATAAAACATCAAATGACTCTTTTGAAGGATTTTCCTGAAACAAAACAAAGAAGCAAGCAAACAAATCATGAAACAAGCAAAATGAAGAGAGGGAACATTCAAATTGAGAAGGAACTTCAAAAGCTGAGTAAGAAGTTAGTAAAAGATTAAATGTCCTGCCTGGCTGCATGCCAGGCAGAAGAGAACAGGAAATAAAGGGATAAATCTAATTAAAAACCCCGCCCTCGAGGCACCCTACACCTGAGCTGCCCAATGGGTCATTCCTAACCCACTTGGAAAACAAATACACAAAGAGTCATTGTATATAGTAAGGTGACACACGATCTGTGAATGGGACCAGCAGTGTTCTGAGCTGGCTCAAAGGTGGGGCTTCGCTGGCAGCCTGAGTCCACCAGCAGCTCCCTGGGGACCGGCAGGTTCTCCCCACGTGGTTTACAGACTCTAAGCACTCAATCGCTGGAGCCCCCCAGTCTCTCCATGGCAAGCTGCTGAGTCCGTTCTGACGGACAGCAGCCCTGGAGCACAGAGAGACCTGCTCCCAGGGCTTGGAAGCTGCCATTCCTATAGAAGCAGAATACCTCCCCATTCTCCCACAGAGCAGCTGGTGTGCGTGAACTGCCGACCTTTAGATTGGCGGTCGAGTGCTTAACTACTGCTCCATAAGGGCTTTTTACCAGCTTAACGCACTGCCCTCATAGACACCACAGCACAGCTCGGTCAAGTACAGGGCAGCCCAGGATCCCCCGGGAAGCTCAGCTGTCAGCATCTTCCTGGTGCTGGAGGCAAAGATGCATTTGCTTAAATAAAACATTCCCTGGATTTGTTTGAGCTTCAGCCAAGGCAGTTGTTCCAGAAAGCTAACATCACAGTTGACACCTATTAGGAGTGTGTATGAATAATGCTAAGGCGTATGGGCAGGAGCTCCAGTAGGGCAGTGGATTAAGGCATTCAGCTCCTAACCCAAAAGCTGGCAGTTCAAACACACCACCCTTCTCTAAGGAAGAAGGACGTGACAATCAGTTCCCCTAAAGATTAACAGGCCCAGAAATAATCTGGTGGGGTTCTACTGTGCCCTGTGAGGTCACTGAGTCAGAAGTGGCTTGCCAGGAGTGGTTTTCTTTGGTAGCATGTGCTACATGTTGGACTGCCAAGTGAGTGTCAGCAGTTCAAATCTACCAGCTTCCCTCAAGAGAGAGAGACGTATGGTCCCTTCCTAGAGAGAGTCATAGCTTCAGACACCCACTGCAGGTTCCCATGAGTCTGAATGGATTCAATGGGAGTGGTCACAGTTTTCAATGTTCTGCCTTTGTACCATTCATGGAGTTCTTACTCTATGCCAGTCCCATTTCAAATGCTCCATACACCCTATATTCCCTGTGGGCCCGGAGCTCTGGCGGCCTCCTAGTAAGAAGGTGCACTACAATCTAAAGGGCTGTGATCCTGGGAGCCCCCTGGTCGGATCTACCAGCTGCTCTGTGGGAGAAGGATGGGCAGTCAGTCTCCTCCTATGTGACTTACTGTCTTTGAAAAGCCGCTGGAGGGTCAGCTAGGAGTCGGTTCTGACTCAGCACACACACACCGCACGACATACATGAAATAATTCATCCTCACAACAGCCCTGCAAGGAAGGAGCTCTGCCTCTTATTTCACACCTGAAGAAACAGAGCAGGTGGGCTGTTCTCGGCGAAGATCCCACTCTACGCCTGCTCATTTACTCGACCACCACGGAGGGGGCTGCAGACAAAGAATTCAGCTCAGAGCTGACCGTCCAGCGGCTTGGCCCAGGCTGTGAGCCGCGTGGAGGAGACCGCTCACTTTTCTCTCTCGGAGCTGCCGGTGGATTTGAACCGCTGGACAGACAAAGACTTTGGGTGAGCAGCCAACTCCCCGAGGACTAGACCACTAGTCTCCCCAGACTGAAAGCAAATGTGAGAAAGTTAACAACCAAAACCCGAAACTTGCTGTCACTGAGTTAGCATGGAGGCAGGTACCCCGAGGACAGAGCGGAGCTGCCCACCAGGCTTTCCAGAGTCTGTAATCTTGGGGACGCACACCGCTCGTTGCGTCTCTCTGCCACGGAGTACCTGGTGGGCTTGAACTGCTGTCCTTTGGGGTAGCAGTGAGTGTTTAAGCACTGCACCTAGAGCTACATTTGTGTTTGTAACACTCACTCTGAAATGGTGGATGGATGAGACTCTGAAATTATGATGGATGAGACGATAATACTTTTAAAGCTAGAGGGACACTATTTACGGCTCAGTGGACCCACCAGCACATACTTACAGAGCAGCTTACTAACCCTTCAACTATAGTGTGTGTGCTGTTGAGTCAGAGCCGACCCACAGCTGACCTCCAGGGGGAGGGATTGTCCACCCTTCTCCTGCAGAGCAGATGGTGGATTTGAACTGCGTGCCTTAGGAGAGGGCAGCAAGGCTCCTTTCCACTAGGCCATTCTAGGTGTTCAAAAACTTCTTGATGAGAAATTCAGAAGCTTAATTAAGGTGTCGAAATGCTCATGCACTTTCTTAACTGATACCCGAAGTTTATATCAGAAACTGCCTGAAAAGATAAGGATGGTGAAGCTTGACTACCTTTCTACATCCTCCCTTGATAAGGAGCTTTGAATAGGCTGAGTCTACAACCACGAAGCTATTTTTTTTATTGAGCATAAAATAGTGGATAGTCAGAAACGCTGAGATTCAATGAAGGGATGTTTTTGCATCCACACTCCCAAGAGATGTAACACTGAGATGGCAAAATGCTGGCCGCTGGCTCTCACCCGAGGACAGGACCCGGGAGTCTGCAGGGTGGCCCCTGAGACACGTGGCAGACTGTCTCGGCCACCACTGTGCTGACGTAATTTATACAAATGGCAGCACATACAGCACCTGAGCTGCTTCTCCAACCAGTAGACACTAATGATGTCTGTTCTGCCAATTCTGTGAAACTGAAATGCATTCTTGATGGCAGTAAGCCGGGCATCGCTACAGGGACCTCTTGTTTACTGGGTACAGCTCTCCCCAGGGTGGTACGTGGCTGTTGTTATGTGCTATAGAGTTGGCGTCGACTCACAGCTGACCCTCCAGCAGGTTTTCAGAGGCCGTAAGTCAAATCAGAGAAACTGTCGGCCTTTCTCTTGCAAAGCCGCCACTAGACTCAAACCACCTGCCTTTGGCTTGGCAGCGCAGCTCCTTGCCTCCTGGCCACCAGAGCTCCCGAGTGGTGGGCAGGACCTGTGCTTTAAAACCAGGTGCAAGAGGGTGGGGGAAGCAAGCCATGGGGCCACCAACTCCTGAAAACTGCTTTCCCATCAGATTCATCCTCTGAGGCACACACCTGCCTGGAAATGAGGCAGGAAACGCATGATCAGATAGGTGAGGACAGAGGTGGTATGCTGCTGGCCCTGCATTACAGAGCTAGTCAGGGACAGAGTCCAGGAGGCAAGTTCCCCAACTCCCAGTCCTGGACAGGTGCGGATGTCAGACTCTGCCCTGACACTCTGGGTACGTTCCAGGAGGGGCCAGTGCTTAGAAAAGAGCATCAGACTTGGAAAAGTAGAGTCAGTGGGAGAAAGAAGACCCTCCTGTAAGATGGTCTGACCCAGTGGCTCTAAAGATGGCCTCAGACATCACAGGGTGTGGCAGCGTTCCATCCTGCTGCCCACAGGGTCACTACGGTCCCAGCCACCATGGCCCTGACCACCACCACCTCACATCCTCCAGGGGCTTCCTTCCTCCTCTCCACCGACTCGACAGTGAGGCCCGTGGTGAGGACGACAGAGTGTGAGCGCTGCGAGCTTCCTTCTCGGGCCTCCAGCCACACCCCTGGCATGGTTGGGCCGGGCAGGACACGACTTCCTCTGCCGACCTGGACACACACCTTGATTTCCGGGAGCTGCATCACCTCAGGGAAGACCTCGATGCAGTTGGAGTGCGCGATCACGGTGTGCACGCGCCTGCAGCTCACGATGGTGGTCGGGATGGCTTTCAGTTTATTCCCGCTGATGTCAACCTCCTCCAGCTCCTCCAGCTTTGCCATTTTACTGGAAGAAGAGGACGTTAGAAGAGACCCATGAGGAGCTCTGAGGAGAAAATGACACTGGGGGCCTACAGGAGAATGCATGACAGCATCAGTGGTTAAGATTCACTTAGAATACAGAAAAACCCAAACCCAAAACAGTCCCAAATGCACCCTGTCCGCTGCCACTGGGCCTGTGACCAGAATTCCAAGTCACAGTTACGCAGTAGGACAGAAGAGTTTATAAACTATAAATCTTTACAGAGACTACCTTCTCTTCCTTATTTCATTTGTATTACTAAAACAAAACAAAATAGCCAACAAAAGCTGCTGCCACCATGTAAGAACTATTCCGGTGGGTTTTGGAGGCTGTAAATCACAGAGGAGCAGCCTGTGCATCTTTCTTCCTCGGAGCAGCTGCTGGATTCGAACCCCAGAGGCGAGGCCTTTGGTTTAAGTAGTTGACTTGATGGTGTCTAACAACAACAACATGGAGAAGCCAAAGGACAATGAGGCCCAAACATAGAAAAACTAGAGACATGAAGCCCAAGGAGGTAAAGTGAAAGGGGTGTATCTCCTTGAAGATAGAAAGGTGGACAAAGACTTGGTCGCCAGAGCAGGGTCATTTGCTGAATGTCGACCATGGCCAGAAGAGACACGAGGTTCAAGGGCAGACGTAACTCACAGTCCTGACCCTTGAGGAGCTCTGGATCATGCCAGGAACAACGATGCTGGATAAAACACCTCCCTGAAGAGAACCAGAAACTATAGCAAGATGGCTCTGCCCTGGGTGCACGGGCCACTGGGGAAAACACGCTGCATCCCAGCAGACGGTCATTTCTGATCTACACCCAAAGGGCAGCGATCATCACCATCTGAAAGGGGACCAGGCACCCTTCCTGATGTGTTACTGCCAAGTAATTACCGTACCTCCTTCCCAAACCACACGGTAAAGAGCCCTGGTGGTGGAGTGCGTTACAGGCTGGGTTGCTAACTGAGAGGTCAGTGGTTCCAATCTCCCTACCTGCTCCTCTGGGGAAAGATGAGGCAATTTCTTCCCATGAAGATTTCACAGCCTCAGAAACCTGATGCAGGGTCACCTGCGGACTAGATTCTGCACTACGGCACTGGAGTTGGCTCTGGTTTGGTGCCACATATTAAAAGTATTTAGAAACAATAACACCATAAAGATGCAGCAGGAATGTAAAACACCATGTATATAAATAAGACACAAAGTTTAAGAATTGTGCATGTAAACCAAGATAAAAGAAACATAATCTTTTTAGAAAAAGATTCAGCAGTAGCTTTGGGTACAGCTGGACAATTTGCCCGCCCTTTTAAATTTTCTACACCATTCTAGAATAAACGACCTTTTATTGGAAAAAACATACTTTAGTCATTAATGTAAAATAAGGAGAGAGGGGGAGAGATAGGCAGGTGTTACAAGAACAGAGCGATACCTGGGCAAATGCCCACAAGGTCCTCCTGCCCACCAGCGGCCGGCTCGTGGCACAGAAGAGGCTGTGCTGGGCTCTTGCCTGGTGCCAGTTCTGAGCTGCTGTTCCCAGCACAGAACCAGAGGGGTTTGTGTTTGCTTTGATGTGTGGGTGTGCATTCCAAGTCCTGACTTGTGAGGTGGCTAAACGCCAGGGAGAAGGAAGTGGAGTAAACCCTTTGTGGCTCGCGCACAGATTCACTCAAAGCCGCACACAGGGCCACTGCTATCAAAAGGAAAAGTGAAAATTAAAATGGAATTAAAAATGCAATCTCCTAAAGCCATGTGTAATTTGCAATGTCACACAGTCTCCATGGCTTTACATGTCACCACTGGCTTCCACATCATGAGCACGGCTACAAAAGCTGACAGATAATTAAGGACCGTCAAGTTCCTATTTACACTCTAATGTCCATACATCACATTAGACTCTTATTTAAAAAAAAGATTAAAATTAATTTGATGCTTAAAAAGAAGCAAGAGTAAGACATATCACTTAGAAACATGCATTATTTCAAAATCCTAAGAGTATTACTTGGATCCACAATTAACACCAATAGTAGCAGCAGTCAAGAAATCAAAAGACCTAGGACCTATAAAGAGTGTGAAAGAGCAATGGTGTCAGTTTAAAGACTAAGGTGTGTCTGATCCAATAGTATTTCCAACTGTAAAAAAAAGTTGGACAATGAATATGACAGAAGAACCTTTGAATTGTGGTGTTGAAAAGTCCTGAATCTCTCATGGACTGCCAAAAGAATAAACAAATCTGTCTTGTTGGAAGTTCAACCAGGGTGCTCCTTTGAGCAATGATGACGAAACTTTGTCACATGCTTTGGGCGTGTTATCAGAGGGACCAATCTCTGGAAAAACAACATGCTAGGAAAGAGAGGCATGTCCTCAATGAGCTGGACTGACACACTGTCCGTTACAAAGGGTAGGAGCACCAGGGACCATGGGGATGGCACGGGACAGCCCAAGCTTCAGAGCTTGTTGAGTTTTCTTCCCCCTCCGCATTTGTGAACACATGTTTAGCAGTGCAACAAAACACAGCGCTTCCAAGAGCCCTTTACCTGGCGGGGAAAGTCTGCAGGCGGTTATAGGCCAAGTGCAGAATCTTCAGGTGGGGATGCCCGGTCAGCAGCGGCACGCACTTGTCTGTGAGGTTGTTATTCGTGAGATACAGCTCCTGCAGGATGCTGCTTGTCTCTTCGGAAAGGGTGGCTGGGGGGAGGGTCTCCAGTTTGTTGGCGGAGGCATTCAGGAATCTCAGGCTGCAACGACAAAGCCAGGGAGACATCAAGACACCACTGAGGGAAGAATGCCCGGATTCGGAGCCTCAATGCACCTGCAAACTCGCTGACCTTTGACAGCCAAGCCAGACTCATTGACCTCTGACAGCCAAGCCAGACGCCGGGCTGAGGAACAGAAACTCAAATTTAGCCAGCAAACGGATGCCTGACATCTTACCTAGGCTAAGGAACACAGCAAGCACCTGTGTGATAAATGCCGAGGCAGAAATCGGCTGGGGTCGGGGGGAGCGAAGAAGTGGGAGGGTGGGATTAGTTCCACAGCTGGTGGGGTGTGACTGAGTGAAGACAATGCACAACTGACTGAGAAAGAGAAAACAATCACTGCTTTTAAATAAGAGGGTTCTTCCCCACAGTAATAATAAGGAATTAGGTTGCTTATACCCAAATCACACAGTGAGAAGTCTCCCTAGTCAGGATATTGAAACCATTTTTACCGACATGCATCCACAATAGAAACAGAGTTCCCTCTGCATGAAAAAGATAGAATAAAAACACACAAGCACTTCTGCCGAGTGAACTGGACTCCTGATGACTTCACAGGACAGAGCAGAGCTGCCCTGCGTGGTTTCCAAGGATTTCACCTTTCCACAGACGGACAGACAACCTCAGTTTGCTCTCAGGGTGACTGGCGGTCTCGATCTGCCCATCTTTTGGTGACCAGCCCAGTTCTTAGTCTCTGTACCAGCAGGGATCCAAAACGAGAGAAAACCCCACAACACTGTGGGTGAAAAACTAGAACTTCATATAACCACTCATTAAACGCGGCAGACAGAACAGTGTGTGAACGGGCAAGAGGGTGGACGTGGACGGCATAGTTCCTATGGACAGTTCTGGACCTCAGCACTAGGAAGTCTAGGTGGAAGGTGGGAACATGCAGAATCAAGGAAGGGCTTCCGGGGTTTTGATAATGTTGTTTCTTAACCCAGGTGCCAGTTACACAAGGGTGTTGGTGATAGAAAAGCAAAAAAAAAAGTTCATCAAGGGGTGCATTTAACGATTGTGCCACGTTCCTGGTGGTTCAGTGGTTAAGCACCCAGCTCCTTACTAAAAGAACGGGGGTTTGAACCCACCAGCTGGGAAGTTGGTCTGGCAGCCTGCTGCTTTGGACACACTATGGTAGGGTTCTCCTCCGCCCCACAGAGTCACCACCACGAGCCAGCATCAATTCAACAGCATGGGGCAGGTTAAGTACTGGGCTGCTAGCTGAAAGGCTGGTAGTTCAAACTCAGGAGCCACTCCTCAGGAGAGAGAGAGGCTGTGGTGTCTCTCCCGCCCAGGGTTAAGCCCAGGGAGCCTGGTGGAGCCACGAGATGGAATCAACTTGGTGGCAGTGGCTGGTAAATACTTAAAACTCTAAGTGCACAGAACATCAGGGGCGCCCTGACTGTTCAGGGCCACTTCCCTTCAGGAGTCCTCACTGGGGCTGCCAACTGCACCTCAGTGAGCTGACTGGACGCTCTTCCATCTGGCCCCGCCCTACATGCACCCCCCCCCTTTCTATTTATCTGAGGAAGAGCAGCTTCCCCAAAATAGAACATTTTCCATTAAAGAAACACGTATTCTGTTGACATTTAAAAAAAATAAAAATAAAAAAGGAAGTCAGAGCAGAGCTGCCCAGCCCATAAATAGTCAAGAGAAATTATAGTCCAGAAAAGAAGAGAAAGGTCGTTCATGCCGTGTCTGAGATGGGCTGAACCAGGAAGGAAACCGGGTACAGCACCAGGCTTCTTCAAAGTGTATACACGGGTCTGTTTTCTTTTCACCACCTTGTCAGAGTGCTCCCCTGCTAAGAATTGTTCCCGTGGAGAGACTTAGTACCTTAATACAGCTGGGGGCTGGGAAACCACCTGATAACATCATTAAAGCATAATTCTCTAAGACGTATGTAAGGACAGCGAGAAAGAAAGGGAAACAAAGAGGGGCTGGTGAGGAGAGAGAGAACTGGAGGGAGAGGGGATGAGGGAGGGAGGAGAGAAGGAACACATGAATGTGTATTTTTAGTCCGGAAAAAGAGGGAATGATTTTTTTGGAAAGAACACCACAAATAACACAAATAACCCCCAAACCTCCACAAACCTCACTGACTAGGACTGTCTTAGCGCTGACCCTCCAGAGAGCTTTCGGAGGCAGTACACTGCATGGGAGGACGCTGCCCATCCATCTTCCAGAGAGCAGCTGGTGGATTTGAACTGAGTACCCATGGGATTGCAGTGCAGCCTCTTACCACTAGATCGCCCACATCTAGAAAGCTGTAAATGGGCTTGAAAACTCCTCCCAGCATCTAATAGACAGGAGGAAAGGGACATCCCAAAAGACTTCTCCTCTTACCCTGCTGAGCCTTGCCTGGACTCACGGAGTCAGACACCCCTCACAGAAGATCAGGGGGAAACCCCACAGCTGAGCCTCTAGGAAATGATATTTAGTTAGACCGTAGGCTGGCTCCAAGGGCTTCATGTGAGCTGAATAAAGTCCAACTTCATCATCTTATCAGGCCAAAGAGCACATAATTGGACCAAAGAGATTTCTGCTTATTATTGTCTTGGAAAGTAAATTTGGTATCAATCCTCTTAAAAATAACTACTCCTCATTCTCCCCTGTATGTTCCAGCAGAAGACAAACGAAACCTAAGTCCTGGCCCTGGTGGTGTGCTCTCATCAGAATAAACCCTCTTTAATCAGCAGGTGGATGGGCAACAGCTTGACTGAATAACCCCAATCGTGTCTCCAACGCTCTAAAAAAGCTAAATCCCTGTAGCACTGAGTTTTGTCTCAGATCAATAAGACGGGAGGACCAATTTCATGCTTCTCCTACACAATTTTTAAATAGTTGTATAAAATGACCATTTAATGTGTCAAGAGATGCTTCATCCATGTGGTCCAGCATGCGGCTCTCATCTCCCTGGAGGAAGACAGCAACACAGCATCATGCTTTCTGCCGTCTCTAAGGAACTTTGGAGACACTTTGGCTCTGATGTTCTACCTCCCAGGCTCGGCCCTTCCATAAAGCTCCTGCTCCCAGCTCGTATTTTGGTTGTTTTTTGTTTGTTTTTTTTTTAAGATAATAAATCATTGTCTCCTAAAGGTGAGGACTGTTACATTGCTTGGCGAAGGTTAAAAGATCCTGAAATACAATCCTGAAATAAAACTCTTTAATTTTTCATCTTTCCAAAATAACCTTAAAAAAGAAAACAGTAAGAAAACCTTTTCCCCTGAGGACGTTTTCAAGGGACTTCTACTAGAAAAAAGCTGGAGGTGAAGGCAGGCACCTGCTCAGGTAGAGAGGAGGCCACAGGTGTGCGAGGATGTGAACGTGTGAAATGAGCAGCCCCCACCGGGGGAGCTTCCTTAATAGAATGGTCAACAGTAGAAGAGGTGCCTGGGCCGGCCCTGCCCTGGACCACGTGGACCATCACCTGCTGCAGCAGAGAGGTGACCAATCAGCTTCTTGCTTCCCATGGCTCAAGGCTCCTTGTCCTTGGTGTACTCCGTCCACCTGCTCAGGTTTCCCTCTTCACTTGGCGAGTTCACACCTGACTGGTGTCCACTAGTGCTGTGTTTATGCCACGTTATAACGTGGCTGGTGCTCGTGGTGTTGTACTAAGCCCCGTGGTGTGTGGTTATGCCACATTACATAACTGGTGCTCATGGTGCTGTATTAAGGTCAGCGGTACCGTGTTACGACTGCGATGCTGACTGGCAGGTCAGCTTGCACCCCCAGTCACACAGAAGGAGAGAGGTGGGCAGTACCCCCTTGTAAAGACTTGTTGTTGTTGTTGTTGTTATGTGCCGTTGAGTCGTTTGCGACTCATAGTGACCCTATGTACAACAGCCCTAAACCCTGCTCTATCCTGTGCCAATCGCACTGCCTCTGACACACCCATCCCGATTACCCCAGTCACTGAATCAAACCATCTCATAGAGGGTCTTCCCCTCTTGCGCCATCCCTCCACCCTCCCAAGCATGGTGTCCCTCTCCAAGGACCTGTCTCTCCTTGCAACATGCCCAAAGTATGTCAGACGAAGCCCCAGAATCCTTGCCTCCAAGGAGTTGCTTGGTTTAATCCTCTCCAGGATAAATCTGTTTGTTTTCTTGGCAGTCCATGGTACATTCAGTACTCTTCTCCAGCACCACAGCTCAAAGGCATCAATTCTCCTTCTGTCCTCCCTAGTCATTGTCCAACTCTCTGATGCATAACAAGTGATTGCAAAGGCCATGGTATCAGGCTCACCTTAGTCTCCAGAGAGACACCGTTGCTCTTGAGTAGTTTAGAGAGGTCCTAACAGCAGACTTTCCCATCGCAATACGTTTTTTGATTTCCTGACTGCTGGTGCCAAGAGTGTTGACCGTGGAGCCGAGCAAACTGAAGCTGTGAACAATCTCAATCTCTTCGCCATCCATCCTGATGCTACCAATTGGTCCAGTGGTGAGAACCTTTGTCTTCTTGACATTGAGCCTCAGTTCATACTGAAACTCCAGTGAAAGGGCAGTCGAGGGTCACTGGGAGTGGGAGTGGTAGCAGGAGTCTGTGGTTGTTGTTAGGTGCCGTTGAGTTGAACAGGACTCACAGTGGTGACCCTTTGAACAACAGGACCGTACCTTGTCCTATCCTGTGCCATCGTTATCTCGGACACACCACAGCCCACCGCAGCAGTCCATCAATCATCTTGCTGGGTGGTTTTCTTCTCCTTCATTCACCCTCCATCTTTCCAAGCATGATGTTCCTTTCCAAGGAATAGCCTCTCCTAGCAACATGCCCTAAGTATGAGAGTTGAAAGGTCACCATCCTTGCTTCCAAGGAACACTCTGGCTGCACTTTTTCTAAGACATATCTGTTAGTTCTTTTGGCAGTGCATGGGATATTCAGTTCTTTTCTCCAACACACAGCTCAAAGGAATCAATTCTTCTTGTTATCCTATTCACTATTCAGCTCTTAGATGCAGAGCAAGTGACTAAAAACACCAT